CTTTTGAATGTTATTCAAGCCTTTGAATGTTAAAAGAGTAAACACTCTGTAAAGACTGAGCCTAACTCAATTGGGAAACTAAACAACAGGAAATATTGGAAGAAGCATGGATGGGTTCATGGAAATACCAGCTGAAGTGTACCACCCAAATGGTAAATAGGTCCAGCTCTATTCAACTTTTGTGGAGAATCAGTCAAATTTTATCTGGTCCTGCCTCTGGGTAAGTGGAATGATTCTTCACCAAAAGAATCTACTTAGTTACTCTGGGAATGGATTACTAGAGAGGCCTTTTTTGACTTACGTTATGGCAAAGTGATGCTTGCCTAAATCTAGAGTCTGTGTCCTGTTTCTTTTTTGTTCTGGATATGTTCAGATCAATAATGAAAACTCATTCTCATTCATCCATTCCATGGTAAATTGCACTGGTTCAAAAAGATCTCCTAATAGTTATATATACAATATGCAAAATGTGCAAACAAGGCAATTTAAATCCACCAATCCTACAGATGTTCCTTTAGAATTAAGCTCATAAAATATGTAATATATTTTAAACAACTTTTATAGAAATATAAATGATTTTTTTGATCATTTAACTATATTTCAACAGAAGAATATATTTAAATCTAGAATTATATTAATGTCCCTTACAAGTTATATATCTATGATTTAGTTTAGTTCATTTATGAAATTTGATTCTTTCTAACTGATGTAAAAATCTAGTTTCAAGGCATTGTATAAAACATAACTGAGGGAAAGACACAAAAACAGCAGAACAAATGATCAAATTATTTTAGAAGGATTTTTTCACAATTACTGCCTATCATCTAAGGTACATATTTCTGAACTAAGCCTGAAAGTAAGAAATAAGATTGGAAAGAAACATAACTGAAGACTTATTGCTTTTACAGCCACCCTTATATATGAATCTTATCTTGTTCATAGTTCTCTATGGCCATGTTGCCTCTGTGTTGTTATATAATCCAGAATTCCTCAAGTTAGATGCTCCTAGAATGTATGACTTTTGACTCTCATTAGTCCATACTAAACATATTTATTATGATTTAAGTGTTAAACATAGTGCTGTTTATGGAGACTTCCAATCATCCAGGTCATGTTTGTCCCAAAGGTGCTTTTCAAAAGGCAGCTGAACTTTAATTTCTTCCCTGAAAATGTTTCACTTCTTATCCAAGAAGCTTGTTCTGAAAGCTTCAACTGCCTTTTGAAAAGCACATTTGGGATCAAGATAGTGATCAAACACTGATTCTCTGGCACCATAATTTTAATAACTATAATGACAGGTTTGGCAGGTGATCCTAGGGAAGCAACTTTTTCTCAGACTCACATGGTTCATGTATTAGGTGAGCTCATGTCTCAGACTTCTGTGAATATCATGACACAATAACATATCAAATATTTTAAAATACATATTTAAATGCTAAATATGCTATATTTGCAAGACATGTTTGTATCTCCATTTATACATATTGATAAAAATGTTGAAAACAAAGTTGGATCAGGAAGAAAATGAGAGAAGTTTAACAAGCTACAGATTTTCAGGAGAGAACTCCGGAACTTCTGAAAATCTGGTCAGCTATGGTCCTTGTTTAAGGACTTTACTATAAGGAAAGAAGAAGTGGTAGCACAAGAAGTATAGAGCACACTTTTCATATATAAAATTTAGCAATGGATTTTAAATGTATATTCTTAAAATATTTTTTAAAATTAGAAGTTGAACATTCCCATAAGATTAATGACCCATGTGATTTCCTAATTCAGTCTGGATTCAATCAAGTATCAAGTTATCAAAATCTTCAAAGCAGGATTGAGGCGATCCTAAGCTAGAAGTGCTTGCTTCTTATTGATTTTGGTTTCATTACTGACACATCTGTTTGCTAGATTATTATGATGAGAAAAAACAAGCAATAATTTAAGATATATATTTTTTAAAGATCCAAAAAAAAAAAAAAAAAAGTAAGCTATTTCTGGCGACCTGCATATCTGCTTTAGAACAGTGAGAAATACCACCAGTGCTTCGTGGTTGATGGGATA